AAAAAAAAATGACGTGCATCAAGGTCCTATTATGTTTAATGTAAGTACCGAATTTGAACAAAATCCGTCCATGCATAACTGAGATCCGGGTTCGGAATGGTGAAAATGTGCGATTTCAATGCATTTTCGGCCTTAAAGCGGCCGCCATTTGGCTATCGTTAATGGGATCATGAAACAAATGCACATACATATTTGTGACATGATGTACCTTGTGTGTGTGAAGTTTGAACTTGATCAATCCAGACATGTCTCGGATACGGATCCAGAACTGAATTCTTTAAAACAAAATGGCCGCCAGTCGGCCATTTCGAACTTGATCTGAAAAAAAAAATGACGTGCATCAAGGTCCTATTATGTTTAATGTATGTACCAAATTTGAACGAAATCCGTCGATGCATAACTGAGATCTGGGTCCGGAATGGTGAAAATGTGCGATTTCAATGCATTTTCGGCCTTAAAATGGCCGCTATTCGGCTATCGTTAATCGGATCATGAAAAAAATGCATGTGCATATGTCCCATATAATGTGTGATGTATGAGTGAAGTTTGAACATAATCGGTCCATGCATGTTCGAGATACAGGTGATCACGGACGCACGGACGCACGCACACAGGGCAAAACATAAGTCCCCGTTTTCGGACTCCGTCCGAACGGGGACTAAAAAAATGTCATGCCTGTGGATTACCTCAATGAACCAAATGAATTATTATGCATAGATTAAGGTCTGTATATTGTTTCGGGGTGCACATGTTCAAAATTTCAATATAATGCGGTAATTAATATTCACTGATTTTAACCAAAAACTAATCAGGTCTGTGCATTGTCCTAGAACATCCATGTACCAAGATTCATTGAAATGGGATAATTAGTACTTGCTATATCAGTGTAAAAGCCAAAAATTAGTTGATTAATATTAATACATTTTCACTTAAAATTAATCAGGTCTTTGGATTGTTCTAGAGCATCTATGTACCAAGTTTCATTGAAAAGTAATGAAGTAATTATTATTTCACATATCTTTCTGTGCATCATACTATGTAAGTTTCTTTACAATGTGATGATTAGTACCTGAGATATCAATAGAAAAGCCGAAAATTGACTAATTATATGCATGGATTTTAACCCAAAACTAATCACATCTGTGCATTAGTCCAGAGCATATATGTACCAAGTTTCATCAAAATCTAATGACTGTTCCACTGACATCTAAAGAGCCATTCAAGGAACAGCTAAAAATTAGCTAATTATCATGTATGGATTTCAACCAAAACCTAATCAAATCTGCGCATTGGCCCAGAGCATCTATACAAAAAGTTTCATTGAAAACCAACATATGGTTCTTGAGATATCAGTGTAACACACACACACTCGTGTAACCTTAGTTGTGACGCCACACATTGAATTAACTTTTAATAAAGTTAAAATGAACGTGCACACACACACACACATCATTGTTTTCAGTGAAAGAGCAATGGCATTGGAGGTACCAAGATATAATGAATATTACCCCAAAGTAATTGGCTAATTTGCTGACACAACCACACCAAACTGATTACCATTGTGTGCTTTGCACACAGGAGCTAAAAGTGTTAAAACTGTGTCAGGATATGCAGCACATCAAACAAAGAATGCTCCACTGCTGAGGGTATTGGAAGCAGTCAGCTGACTAGTATGCATAATTAATCATGTCAGTTTTCATTGATATATTAGTAGAATGTAGGGACAAGCACATGAGCAGTTTTGAAAATAAATTACAAAATGGCTTGACATTTTCTTTATGATATGATTCAAGTAAACTATAATACAAGTGTGGTATGGTGTTGCCTGTCCCTGTCTTTTCTAATGCTGAAAATTATAAATTAGGTAAATAATATGTACAGATTATGTAATGATTGCCACCAATTAGGTTATAGCCTTGCTGTCAATTCGCTTAAAAAAAAGCTGTTCAATCATCACTCCATTGAAATGAAATGATATATGAGCTATGGAGGTCTCTTCACCTGGTGCCACCATGATGCTACAATAAAGTGACATGGTCTTTGGTGTTGACCTGTTCAGCTGCAGTTATCATGGCACTGAATTTAGATTCAGTATTTGCTTGCAGCACTGATGGTTTATCAAATTCAACAACCTATAGATGGAAAGACAGAAGAAAAAATGCTTAGTGGTCATACAGCATTATTATAATAAAAGTTTCATACATATTTCACTGCTTCTGTCAAGCATTATCTATAGCTATACAGATGTGAAAGTCATGAATATCAGTGATTTTGGGTTATGATATAAAGTTAGCAACAGTATCTTAAAAAAAAATTGTCAAATATGAAGTGATATACAGCTGTGCTTGTAAATGAGTTTACCTTGCCATCTTGCATCACCATTACTCTATCAGAAGATAAGACTGTATTCAATCTGTGAGCTATAGTTAATATTGTACAATCCTTGAATGCATCTTGTATCGTCTTTTGTATTAGACTGTCTGTTTCTGTATCAATAGCTGCTGTAGCTTCATCCAACATTAAGATCTAACAAGAAACACTAAATATATACCTTACTATTCCTAAGTAAAGCCCTAGCCATGCATATAAGTTGTTTTCATACATACCTTACTATTCCTAAGTAAAGCCGTTTTCAGACATACCTTACTATTCCTAAGTAAAGCCCTAGCCATGCATATAAGTTGTTTTCAGACATACCTTACTATTCCTAAGTAAAGCCCTAGCCATGCATATAAGTTGTTTTCAGACATACCTTACTATTCCTAAGTAAAGCCCTAGCCATGCATATAAGTTGTTTTCAGACATACCTTATTATTCCTAAGTAAAGCCCTAGCCATGCATATAAGTTGTTTTCAGACATACCTTATTATTCCTAAGTAAAGCCCTAGCCATGCATATAAGTTGTTTTCAGACATACCTTATTATTCCTAAGTAAAGCCCTAGCCATGCATATAAGCTGTTTTCATACATACCTTACTATTCCTAAGTAAAGCCCTAGCCATGCATATAAGCTGTTTTCATACATACCTTACTATTCCTAGCCATGCATATAAGTTGTTTTCAGACATACCTTATTATTCCTAAGTAAAGCCCTAGCCATGCATATAAGTTGTTTTCAGACATACCTTATTATTCCTAAGTAAAGCCCTAGCCATGCATACAAGTTGTTTTCATACATACCTTACTATTCCTAAGTAAAGCCCTAGCCATGCATATAAGTTGTTTTCAGACATACCTTACTATTCCTAAGTAAAGCCCTAGCCATGCATATAAGTTGTTTTCAGACATACCTTACTATTCCTAAGTAAAGCCCTAGCCATGCATATAAGTTGTTTTCAGACATACCTTATTATTCCTAAGTAAAGCCCTAGCCATGCATATAAGTTTTTTTCAGACATACCTTACTATTCCTAAGTAAAGCCCTAGCCATGCATATAAGCTGTTTTCAGACATACCTTACTATTCCTAAGTAAAGCCCTAGCCATGCATATAAGTTGTTTTCAGACATACTTTATTATTCTAAGTAAAGCCCTAGCCATGCATATAAGCTGTTTTCAGACATACCTTACTATTCCTAAGTAAAGCCCTAGCCATGCATATAAGTTGTTTTCAGACATACCTTACTATTCCTAAGTAAAGCCATGCATATAAATTGTTTTCATACATACCTTACTATTCCTAAGTAAAGCCCTAGCCATGCATATATGTTGTTTTCAGACATATCTTATTATTCCTAAGTAAAGCCCTAGCCATGCATACAAGTTGTTTTCAGACATACCTTACTATTCCTAAGTAAAGCCCTAGCCATGCATATAAGTTGTTTTCAGACATACCTTACTATTTC